GGTGAAATTCCTCACCGTGCTTTGTGTGAGAAACGAAAAACATCTGCTACGAGGTATCAAACGTCATGTGAATATCCACACACAGCAAACCCTTGTGTTAAGGGAAAACACACCATTCACCTAAAGCGCCTAGAAGTCGTATAGTAATCTCTGGCGACTTGAAGGGATCCCTTTTGGCAGCCTTAGGAAAATAAAGTAAAATAAACATTGCTGCTTGCGCAATGGAAAGAAACTTCAATTACATCGGTTAACAATTGGCGATTCATCCCCAGTACAAATTTCTGCAGTCACGCGTATTTACGGACTGTGATGGGAACATTACAAACGGGTGAATGTATAACAAATAAATCAAGAGATTCAGACAATTATAGTATGTCCTTCCTACAGACATTTTACCTCAGCGATGGTCGTAAAACACAATTTGTTAATTGGGACTTGACCGAAACGAAAACCCTTAAAACCAATCTTTAGTTTTGCAAAAGAGAAAAAGAAAAAAGGGCCAGTGAGGCCGCCTGCGTTCTCACTGAGGGAAGGAGGCCTGGGCGCCTTTTGATAGATGACCTCACTCTTCACACTGTACATGAAGCGCGTGGTGTCACGAGGTTTGATGGTGTGCGACGTCCTCTCCCTCCTTCAGTGTTCCAGGAGTACCAGAAGATTTCTGGGCGAGACATCGAGGACAGCATTAAGAGGGAGATGTCTGGTAGCCTGGAGGACGTCTTCCTGGCCATAGGTTTGTTTCTGCTTGGACGTGCGCCATCAAACGGACCATTTAAAGAGATTCAACACGGTTAAGAAAGCTGTTGCCATTCAAGTTCAAATGGGAACAAAGGGAAAAGTCAAAAACCACAACTCAAACGTAATAGACAGTAATGTACTGTGCAGACACACTGACACAGAGCTTCCACCTCTGACTCTAATGTATTCATGTTGTAAGAGCTTTTTGTTTCTTTGCAGTGAAGTGCATAAAGAACAAGCCTGCATTCTTTGCGGAGCGGTTGTACAAATCAATGAAGGTAAATATCTCGTGCTTCTGATGGAGCCACAATAGTGAAACACTGAGTCACCACACAAAGCCTTATCGATAAACGTATCCATGCCTGAACCTTCCGTCTCTCGTAAGGGGCTCGGCACTACGGACAGCGTGCTCATCAGAATAATGGTCGCCAGGGCGGAGGTTGACATGCTGGACATCAAGGCGCAGTTCCTGAAGATGTACGGCAAAACTCTGCACTCCTTCATCAAGGTGAGGCACTCTGCAATACCTCAACTGAGCTATTATTATTATAATAATATTAATATTCTATTCGAAGACGTTAATGCACCACTACCTCTTTCATTATCTCAAATCGTATAATTTCAATCATTCTAGATCTGAAGCCAGAATATTAGTTTTTGTCAGTTTGAATTTTGACAATGATCGCTGTTATTTCCTAAACTTATCCTTTTTGAAGTCTCACTCATCTTTCTTCTCACTGTGTAGGGAGACACGTCTGGTGACTACCGCAAAATACTGCTGGTGCTGTGCGGAGGAGAGTAAAAAAACAAAAAAAACATCAGAACAACTTCCAGCTCACTTTATTTCACACTGTGAGCTATTATTCTGTTGATGACTTCCATTCCTTTTCCTTGTTCCCCGGCCTTCAGGTTTCGCTGATTGAACGTGCCTTGTTTTACTGTTTGAGCTGTATTACCAATTAAACCAAAGACCAGTGGCCTTTTACACGTCTGCTTTTGTTATTGATTGGGCGTTACGGGTTAATCAATGGCATTAGAGCAATTTATGCTTCTCACATCTCTAAGAACATAAAAGATTGAACGGGCTTCCAGCTCCCCGTCTTGTTACAGCGCGGCATTTTCAATCACTGTCCGGTCAGTGAAGTGCATTTGTTTAATTGGTTGCAATTACTCATTTGTTGAGTCAGCCCTTTGTCATTTGACTCAATTACATTAACAGGACGTTAGCTTGATTTGGGGGGCCGTAAAATGTGTTCTAATCAAGTTAAGGAGAAGGTCCCATAGCTCAGACCAACCTGCGGTCCTCGATCCCAGAGGAAGGAGCCGGGGAAATACTCTGCTGTGGGTTCCACCGTCCACTAGGTGGAAGCAGAATAACTCCACCAGGTTTTCCCAAAGCCTCATGTGGTCGCTTCAGCGCGCTGCGATGTGTTCAAAAGGCAAACGCTGATCCCAGGACAGAGGTTGTTTTGTTAGCGTAGCCTCAGTTCTACATTTGCTTGTGCCCTTTGTGTTCTTGTGTAGATGCCAAACACTTGACATTATTATGGAATAAGATTAAGAATGCCATTCAAAATAACTGCTTCTCCCTTCTGATATAAAAAAAGGTGTCCGTTGCATGAATCTTCATTTGTTTTAATTCTTGGCGTGAAGGTTATTCGTTGTACACAAAGAAGATTTGCTTTTTCATTGTGTACAATAAACAACCATCTAAGACTAAATCCCTAAAGAATAAAACAATCCGACAAATCGCATCCTCCATCAATTATTGTTGATAACTCAAGACAGCGTCACACCTGGAAGTGTTTTATTTGATGTGTCTGACAACCTGTTTAAAAAACGATAATGAGCTACGGGGCGCGTAGGAAATTGTTTGAATGTAGAATCTTCCACGCAGGTGTGATAAAGTGCAAAGTGCAAAATAACCATCATGAGTGAAGGTATCGACTGAGCGAGATGACACATTGTTTAATATCCACTTTCACAGTCTTATAAATAACTTTGTAAAAGCCTAATTAGGATGACCATTCTGCAAATATTACCATGGTAACCAAAATAACATGCACAGCAACGGCAAATCCAATAATGCTCATTGAATATTTGACCCTGACATATGTGGGCGGTAATATGGGACATAACCGAAGATAATTATCATCATGCCAAAAAAAAGACCACAGCTGCTGTGAAAGCTTCAACGTTACCTTGGGACAAAAGATTAAAGTTTCATCATGAAATATACATTTTACAATACTTTGTTTTAAACAGTTCACCAAACCATACTTCAAAATAATGTTAATATGAATACATTGCAAAGGCACAATATGTATAATTTGCATTAAAACGTCCTCTTGATTAAAGGCAATCCAGTTGGACACCAGTGTCATCTGCAGCCGCAATAAAAAGGTGAGATTTTCCAAAATAATGTTATTCTTTGCCCCTTCAAACTAACATTTTCATCAGACGGTTTCTTTTTAATTGCCGACAGAACGGAACGGAACTGAGTCCTTTTAATTTAATTAGCAGTAAAACTGCAAACATCTGAAGGCTGTCTGGGCCGGCTGCCGGGTAGAATAGAAAACTCAGGTAGTAAAATGCGTGACACGGTCTAACCATCCATCAAGGCGCTGTGCAGAAGAAACACCAGCGAGATGATGTCAGAGGACGGGCCTTTGTTCACAGGCGACAGCAGACAGGGTGGGTGGAGAGAGACGCTTAAAACCCCAGCACTCCACAAAGGGATGGCAATGGGGGGGGGGAGAAACACATTTCCATTTATTCTAAGAAATGAACATAAAAAGACAATTTTGTTTCCTCACATTAAGTCAAAATCACTACCTCTGGATGCGGGCGAAGCAACGATATTGAAAAGCGGGCATTAACCTTCCCCAATGACAGCAGCAACGGGAAATTGGTCGCAGACAGGTGTTAAAAACGTGTGGTCGATGAACGCCTAAACGTGTCTCGTCCTGTAAGAAATGTTATTTTTCTCTGTTCAAGGCCGCCCTGAGTGTTCCTGTTGTGTGATGTTCAGGGTACTGACATGATGTCTAGCGTGTCAGGCTTTATGTTTGTGGGCAACGTGACAGACAACAAACAATTTGCGTGTTTTGTGACACGCAGTGATTGGTCTCCTCTTAGTTTTTCATTTAATCTCACTCCGGGAGAAATTAACTGCTCTTTGGCTGCTGAATGGGTGTAATTCAGCCTTCAGGCGAGTTGGGAGGGAGAATCTGTATCACTCCACGACTGTTGATCCGATTACATTGTACTCACTACAAGTCGAAATTAAGAACGTTTTGTTCAAATGTTGCAGCTTCATTTCATCTCTGCGTTTCTCATTTTGTGAAAAGACGCTTGCATCAAAGTCATTCTTTTTTAAATAGACTGTTGATGGTGGAGACTGAGGGGCTCCTGGCAGCAGGTGGTCCATCGCCTTGACTACAGATCACACCACGCTGGACGCAATAGCTTTGACACACCAACATATTTCAGCATCTTTTGACGGACAGTTTTTTTTTTTTTTTTTAAGAAAGTTCTCCCACTCATGCTACTGAACTCCATCTGGCACACTTTTCTGTTGGGAAGGATCGCACTGACGTAGATAAACATGTTGCTTCTTTGTATTCCCCAGTAAACTCAGTATGTGTCTTTTCCCCTCCAAAGGTAACGCTGTCCAAAATATTGTTTGAGACACGTCCATGTCCAAACATACGCCGTCGCGTCGTCCAAAGCTTTGATCATTTTGGTGACTGGATAGATCTACAGCCTCACAAAGGTTGTATCCCCTTTTTGTCTCTTAGTGTCTCACTGATAGATGAACGGCGTCACAAGAACAAGGAAGCAGCCGAGGCACACCTGCCTTCTGACTTCCAAAATGAATTATCCGTCTGTAGCCAAAAGGTCATTCTAATTATTTGGATTAAATGTCTAATTCTGACTCTGCTGCTTGGTACCGAGGATATTTAACTGAATCCCAATGCACTTCAAAACTACTAATCTAGGGATGGCATGTTTTTAAATGACAAATGTGTTTTCATTCACTGAGATTCAAATTAATTATATCTATGGCTAGAAAGGAAAAACATTTAAATTGTGACATTTTTGGTAATCTTTAAATGTACATGTAATTTTCTTGCAATGCCAAAGCTTGTATTAAAAGTCACAACGATGAGAATTCCCACTTTAATCAGCTGTGTCCATAAACAACTAACGGAACGTAAATACAGCGTTAAATCCAAACTTTACCGGCAATGCAGCTATGCAATAAATGGCCGAGCGACATTCTAGCCGGCCTCAGATAGAGACCTGCACGAGTGTCTGAACAGATCAATAAATACCGTTACTGTTCTGACCACTAACTAATCAGTTCAAGATCAAGCGTCATCGCCGAGTCCAACCCACACATGAATCTGGTTGGGTCTCTGGCATCTTAATGGCTTTGTGTCATTTCCACAGATCTCTCTCTCTCTCTCTCTCTATTCATGCTTCCCCCTCTCGCTCTTTTATGAAAACGACAGCTTCTTCGGCTCACTCACTGAGAACAAGCGCACACGGAAGGTCCTCTCTTTATACTCACGCAGTGAACTTATCTCTACAATAAGAAACACCGACCCAGGTGAGTTACTGTGTGATATTCTTTAAGCTATATTCTTATTCACGTGTATTCTTACAGGTAGTAGAACTGTCTTTTGCCTAAGAAAAGACAACGGGAAAAAACGCTAAATATACATTTTATTAATGAATATATATGTTATCTTGGTAGCAATGATACACATTATGTTTATGTAATCCCATTTAAATGTCAAAAGTCACTGTGATTATGTTTGTTTGTAATTTGGGGAAAGCTTCTATGGGTTATTATGTTAAGGAAATATGTATTCACACACCCTGGGTGTTGCATGTGTGTTTCAAAAATGTTCTTTTCTTGCTTTTTTAATGCATGTGTATGAAGAGATATGTGAGCTTGGTTTATATATATAAATCCAGACCATGCGAATAACGTGTGGGATGAATATCAGTAAAGGTTAGAATGTCATATTCATGTGACAGAGAAGTATTAAGACCCTGTTAACGTGAACACATCTATCTCAAAGAAATAAAACAGGGGGGAAAACAAATATGTTGTTAGTATTATTACCTATTTTGTTTCTGCACTGTAACATCCAAGTTGATAACATGTTGTGTCATTCGAATTATCATAAGTTATCATTCTGTAGACTAAGCGTCTGCTTTAGTAAAAGAATGACCTAATCAATCTATAGAGTGAATTAAATTATTCCCCTTCTTTTCATTTTACAAATGACGCATTGACAGCTGTAGGGAATTAGCTGTTAGGGGATTCTGTGCCTTGCTCAAGGGCACATCAGCTGTGCCCAGGAGGGGACCTTGCACCTCGACCTGCTGCCAGCTGCATTTTAGAATTAAACTACCGATTTGGTTCATGAATATTAATATTAGGTATTTAATTTCTGCAGTATGTATTTAAAGCATATTTGTTCTGCTGATGAATAGCTCTGGTCCGTCTGTGAGATGCAGACGGCGAAGTCAGCATCATTTATGCACGGAGCACATTCTCTAAAAAAAGACGATGGATCATCAGAAAAATCCCAACAAAAGACTCAAAATCCTTTCAACGCCACAGTGTTATTTCGACCAACAAATTGTAGTTGATTCACAGGGTGCACACAAAGCACAACGACTTTGATGCGACTACATTAAATGTGATCATATCCAAAAACGTATTTTAGAATAAGGCTAAAAAAAAAGAAAAAGGCAGTGACAATGTAAGGTTTAAAAAGCAGTACTTCACTTGTTATTTGTTACGTCTGGCGCATACCAGACTCTGCATCAGCCAGCTGCCGTTGCGTTCAAAATATTGTTTAAAGGGGATTTTCCACTAAAATATCTAGAGATCTCATGTTATGTCAGTTTCACCTCGCTCTAATCTTCCCTCATAGTCAATCTCTGCCAATTCACTGTGGCAATAATAACACCGTTGTGTTATTATTGTGACATTTTGTCCATTTGAACAGATAATGAACAACGTTGTGCGTTTACATGCCTTCTTGATCATGCACCCTTTTAATAATTTGCCCTTTGACCTCTGTGAGATTCTCTCGGGGTGTGTTTTGGACGGCGCAGGTCCTGGCCGACCCGGCTTCCGCCGCCATGGAGGGCAACGGCAGCGGCTCGGTGTCGGGGGAACAGACAGGGGGACACGTTTACGAGGTGGCGGTGGTGCAGAACGTCTCCACCAACCGCACCTCCCAGTTTGCAGACGTGGCCCTGCTGCAGACGTTCAAGGCCCTCATCATCCCGTGCTACGTGCTGGTGGTGGTGGTGGGCGTCTTTGGGAACTACCTGCTCCTCTACGTCATATGTCGAACCCGCAAAATGCACAACGTCACCAACTTCTTCATCGGAAACCTGGCCTTCTCCGACATGCTCATGTGTGTGACCTGCGTGCCGTTCACCCTTGCCTACGCCTTCAACCCCCGCGGCTGGGTGTTCGGCCGCCCGATGTGCTACCTGGTGTTCCTCGTCCAGCCAGTCACGGTCTACGTATCGGTCTTCACGCTCACGGCTATTGCCGTGGACAGGTGGGTGGGTCTCTCTCTCCCTCTGCGCAGCAGAAATGATCAAAAGTGACGTTTTTAATTATCTTTCAAGTTATGTATTTTTTTTCAGCCTCTTCTTTTAAATCCTCTTCAATTTATATTCAAATTAAAAGGCAAAGAATTCAACCAGTCTGTCGTTAATTTGCAATTGTGCCCATTTAAAAATGGTGGAGATCAGATGGCCCTTCTTGTAACACGTCTTTGACATGAAGTGTGTATTACGCTAAATAAATAAATGACTATAAGAGGACTCCTAATTCCGACTATATTCTGCAATACATGATCTAAGACTCCTATGAAATAACATCAAGACTCAGATTTTCGTTTGCTCACATAATACATTCTACATCTACATCTACATTACAAACTTGAATTATCCTTTAAATTATAAATTGATCATATTATAAAACAGAATCCTGCAGCTGCATGAGTCAAGTTTTCGGTTATGCCTCATCTTGTAAATCATCTGTGAATTCATGAACAACCAAATGCTAAACAATTCGGGCTGCTTGCAGCAGTATGTGACTGATGGGCAAAGAACAAAATCCAATTATCCTGCTCTCCACTTTGTGCACAAAGAGAATAATGCGCCGCACAGACATGTCCCCCGGTAGACACCCGAGCTCCACCGACTCTCTGCCGCTCACTGAGGATTCAAACGGCTACAGAAAAGCCTCCTTCTGCTGTTGCTGCCCTCGAGTTGTTCATTCATCTCCTTTCAGCAGAGCCGAGAGCGGCAACACTCAAACAGAGGCTCCTCCACCAGCTGAATGAGCGCCTTAGCTTTTAGTGCTTATCATGTACACATCTGCTCTTTTTAAGAGTTTCAAAAGGGCAACGATTCTCCTCTTTTGCGTATATTGTTCCGTGCAGGTCAAATGTGAATAGTAATAAAGGTCACTATCAATATCATTATTGTACAGTGTTGCTTTAGACATGGTAAATTCAATTTCTCGTTCTCTCTTTCCGCTAATTAACTAATTAACATTCATTCTTCTAACCTCCATCGCGCATCACATTTCCACCAGCAACGCATGGATTAGTCCATTAAACACGCGTGTCGTGCCCTTAATTGCAGGTATTACGCAACAGTTCATCTCATGAAGAAGCGCACCTCCGTGGCGACGTGCGCCTCCGTCCTTACCGGCATCTGGCTGCTGTCCTGCGGCCTGGTTGCACCGGCGATCGCCCACACGTACCACGTGGAGTTCAGAGAGGAAGGCTTCACCATCTGCGAGGAGTTCTGGCTGGGCCGGGAGAAGGAGAGGCGCGCGTACGCGTACAGCACCCTGCTGGTCACGTACGTGCTGCCGCTGTCGGCCCTGTTCGTCTCGTACCTGTGCATCACGGTGAAGCTGAAGAAGTGCGTCGCGCCGGGCCTCCGGACACGGGACCAGGCGGGAGCGCAACAGGCGCGCAAGAGAAAGATCTTCCGCTTGGTGGCGCTCTTGGTGATCGCCTTCGCGGTGTGTTGGCTTCCCATTCACGTGTTCAACGTGCTGCGAGACATCGACATCCACCTGATTAACAAGCGCTACTTCTTACTCATCCAACTGCTGTGCCACCTGTGCGCCATGAGCTCCTCCTGCTGCAACCCGTTCCTTTACGCGTGGCTACACGACCGCTTCCGCATCGAGTTGCGGAAGATGTTCAAGTGTCCCGGTCGCATCGGAGTGCGTGCGAATCACTGCGCCGACAACGGGGTGCTGTGATCCCCCGGCGAGGAGAATCCGATGACGTTATGTCAGTGTAATTAAGCGGAGATGGTGCATATATGGCGTTTTGGATTCCATCCTTCAACCTGTTAGGCATCATGAAGGTGTTCAGGCCATTTAACATTAGAGATTGGATATGAAATTAAAAAATGCACTCTAAATTTTTTTACCGTAAATTAACGGTATTTTACTGGCAGCAAGGACGCCAGGAATTTACCGTTATTTTACGTATAATACAATAATAAATGGTTTTTACACTATGTTACTGTAAACAGGATTACTGTATGTTACCGTAAACTTGAACAAATTTTACTGTGAATTAACTGCAATTTACTGGCAGTTGACACTAGTAACTTACCGTAATTTACGGTATGTTGTCGTATATTGGATCACAAATTGTTACCATACGATTACTGTTTTTGTGTTAAACACCAGAATGTTATAGTTTACTTATAACCGTATACTTTTGCATTTAATTCCCCACAAATTGAAGAAAGACAACCAAACTCATTTGAAGTTTATTAGATGCCTTTAAGACAAAAATGTTAGACATTTGTAACCAAGAACAAAACATAAAATATGTATACAATAATAAAAAAATGAATCATAAAATCATTAGGAACAAGGTAAACTAACTGCAACAATACGCTATGGAACACTTTCAATTGACCGCAGCAAACGGCTGGCGTCCTTAATCCAGTGCCTCTGTAAAACAAACCAAAATAAAATATTTAGAAACACTGTCATTGGTAAAATATTAAAATTACAAAGTTGAGGAAGACAACAAGATGTAAGGAAGGAGAATGTTAATCATGCTAGGCAAATAACACTTATCAACGTTACTTGGAGAGACGAGGCAAAGAGAAACTCCTCCGATGTTGAACTGCACAGGTGTTCTGGATGAACTGAGATTACGCGTCTGACGTCACGTTCAGGATCAGTCGGTCACGATTAACACTCAAATTACTTTTAGGCAATGAACACTTTGAAAAATACAAATATTTATAATCTTTACATTCCGGCCACTGAAACGACAGCGAAGACGGCGCATGGGATAGGGAGGGTGTGCTGTGCAGCACAAGGTTGGCGGTTTATTTACAGCAATTTGTTACTGTGTGTTTTGTGCACCATGCCTTTGGAAACATGTTATTGCAATCCAGCCATCAGATGCATTTTGTGGTGAAAGGTCCATGTGTGGAAAGGGTTATTCTGCTCAGAATCCTTGAGAGGGCCAGTAAAACGTGTTGCCACTAAATGAAGGGTCACTATAGCAACATTACGACTTATCCTTTGGGCACAATTAATACCAACAGCAGGCTTTATGGAAACCATGTTCATTTGTTAGGTAAAAGAAACATGTTCACAACATCTAAGCAGATCATTTGACGTTTATGAACGGTGCAAATAAAAATGAGAACGCTGTGGACACGTTCACGCTTATCTGAAATACTTAATGCTGAAAACCGTACATGTGCTGCACATCCGACCAGACATTGACGCAGGAGAGATGAGATCTCAGTTGCCTTGAACAAATTAATCAGCGTATACTTTTTTTTTTTTTTCAAACAGCCGAGAAAAAAAGCTATACAGTTGTGCAGCGGTATTGGACACGAATACACAATGAGACCGTCGGTTCAAACTGTGTATGGAAATGGTGTCTGCCGACGTGACTGCTGTCAGAAGTAATCCTTTCTGTGGAATAAATTACATTTATTAGCTTGTCCCCCAGGGCATTCATTTGCCTCAAGCCTGTAGTGGATGAATATGCACCTTGACATTACAATTCATTCAATTATTTGTGATGTCAGTGTATAATAGCTGTAAAAAAATCATTGTGAAGTGGTTGGCTGTGTTGCTTTGTGTTTTCTGCTTTTACTTCTGTTGCTTCATGAGATTGTATGCAAATCCAGCACCACTGATCGTTCTCCCTCCCGCTTTCATTATTAAGTTTGTATTATAGCAGTCAAGTCACCTATTCTCTGTTCTCTATGTGTATGTATGTGTGTATCCTGCACAGATGGGACATATTTATCTTTGCAGAAGTGATAACATCAACCAGTTGTAAGTGCTGCTGACATTATTTGACCTCCACCACAGCAGCGTGGATGTGCTCTTTTTAATCATGGACATGTTGCATGAAGCGCCTCTGTGATTCAGTTGCCTTGGGTGCACACACTGTGCCCGGTGTCTTATAACTCACTGTGTAACTTGTGCATCGAATTTTGGAGGTGGCATTCTTGACACGTGTGTGTCCTGTGATCTGTATGCTAACAACACATTGTGGTGACGAATACGGCGATCCAATGACCTCTCTGCTTCAGATCAATGTGTAATGAAATTAAATTCTATATGCAACTTGTTTGCAGCGTGGCTTCATGTGCGGATTAATAACAGGGAGGTGTTTAATGCATAGGAGACGCGTTTAGGGCATTGAAATAATGTGAATTTATTGATGTTTCGGAATGCTCGGTGCTTGCCAACAGTGATGTAAATATCCCTGCAGTTAAATGATTCAAATTCTGCAGCTGTTCATCCGTGAAACAAGCACAATCCTGCGTCTATTCAACCAAATTTATGTTTTGATGAAAAAGCATAAGGCTGCAAGACATTAAGGGAGATTGGTTATTTTTTATGGGCCTGAAAGCTGTGTATATTACCATCTTTGTTCTAGACATAAAGAGAGGCTGAGTTTAATTATTAACTTCCAGTTTACATACCTAAAACATCAAAAATAATAAACTTAAGAAATCTTGCGGGCTGCTTTGATCCGAGCACTGCATAGTGAAGGATTCGACATTTACATCACATACTGCGAAAATGAAAAGAGGTTTCTACTGAGAAAGATGAATTTTCACAGTATAAATAACTCGCAGCTCATTTTCACAATGTCATGGTGTCATTTTTAGTTAACTTATAATGGAGACATTATACCTTAAAAACCCTTTTAGATGTTATGTAAGGACGCATTTCCAAGAAAATATTCAATGGACACAATGAATGGCTTCATTCGTCGCTCGGCACAATGGAGCTTTTTCCCAGAAGACATCTGAATTATTTTCAGTGATTTGTCAAAATGTCCTCTGATAAATTCCGATTATGAAGAAAGTTCTAGATCTAATTATGCAAAACCATAACCATTGAATTTTTTCAACCTCAAACATCACAACCCGGGTAAATCGATTTATAACCGGCACATTTATAAATGATGCAGACGTTTTGTATAATCAAATAATTGTATTCATTAACCTTTATTTCCAATATAGATTTCCCTCAACAGAAAAGCATTTCCCAGTTTCAGTGGAGATCTTCACCGGGCATTTTTCACTGATCCAAAACCAAGTGTAAGCACCAAAAACCCCAAACGCACAACATGTTACAGCACACAGCAACTTACAAAAAAGGTTGTAGCCTTTCTTAACTCAAACAAAACCGCCGCGTCTTTATTCAAATAGTCCGGCCTCGACGCACAGCAGCCAGTGGCGCGTCACTCAAGAAACATGTTCTGCATCTGAGCGAACTCCCGAGCTTCTCGAGGCGTGCGAATGTACGAGTCGATCTCGCTGTCGGAGATCTCCTCGTCTCCCGTCACATCCCGGAGCTCGGGCTGCTCCACTCTCCTCCTCTTAGCGTGGACCACGCACGGGGGCGCAAACAGCGCTCTGGCCCCCCAGTTCGACCCCTTATCTGGGCTCTCCAGAGCGCCGCCGGCCAGCTCGCCGGCCAGCTCGCCCGCCACGCGCGGCTGGCCGGCTTCGTCCCCCGGTGCCAGTGTCCCCTCGGCGCTCCGCTTGCGGCGTTCCACGGGGGATTCCGCAGGATTGGGATCCGAAACTTCGGGGGCTCGAGGGGGAGAGGCCTCGCAGCTGGCCAGACTCTCCGGCAGCAGGGCTTCCTCTCGGGCTCTCAGAGCCCTCCTCAGCAGCGCGTACCTGTGCTTCAGGATGTCCTCCACCTGGCAAACGACGTTGTCGGGAGTCAGCGTCTCCCCGAGCCAGGGAATCTCCTTACCCAGCTTACACAGCACCTCCTTCATCTCCGTTACCCGGATCGCGGCCGGCTTCTGCTTTTTCACTTTGGCCAGCTGACAGAATTTGTCCAGAGATAACTTCAGCCGGTGCCTGTTGGGCTTCAGGGACTGCCACGACAGGTAGATGGCTGCCATGATGACGGGGACGGGTTGGCGGCCCGTCACGACCCAAGTATCCGCCGCCAGCTCCACCAGCTCCACGGCGCGTTTGGTCAAGTCCTTATGGTTCTCGGCCAATTCTTCAGCAACATGAAGGGAAATTTTGTACCTGGCAGAAATAAAATTAAAAAAAGTCTTAAAGTAACACCCTGAATGAATTGGAACACTGGTTTCCTTTTAGATCCGCTCCCTTAAACTCTACCACAGTTTGAAGAATTGTGTCGACAACCGAGATGTTCAGATCAGCGGCTAATTAGATTTTATCTCCAATGAGCGCTGTGTCCTTTACTCACTCCTGACTGTGGGCCTCGATCACGTCGTAAATGTTGAAGCTCGGAGCCTCGATGTTCAGAACCGTGACCATCTCTTTGTAAACCGCTCCCACCTCCACCAGGTCGGCATCCAGCAAGCAGCTGATGGTTCCTATGGTTACGGGCCATTGGCGCATTCTGCAGCTTACGAGCACACAGCAACCAGCCAGAAATTCCTTCTTCCGGAGGGTTACTCTTATGAAGCTTTTGTGCTGATAAGCCCGGCTGTAAAAGGTCTGCGAGAGGTCCTCGATCTCGCGGTTGACCCGGAGGATCCGACACATGGCGATCACGTGGTGACGACCTGTAGAGATGGAAATCAGACATGAGACCTGGACAGAGCAACGGGGGAACGTTTGTCGTCACAACAACTATGTAACAATATGTGTAACAAGCTCCCCTCAGAGAGAAGTTCTCACCTTTTAGGAGATTCATACATGGCTTTTTGTCCCCTGCTGTGGTTCGGCTGTAGCTGACATCTGTAGAAAAACACAAATATAATGAGTCGATATCTAATGGTTAACACACAGGAAGTGGGATTAGCAAGGACAAACAACATGCACCTATCAACGACCTAGTATAGCTTTATATATTGCATGATTCCCTAAACAGAGCTGCTTTTTTTGAGTTTCTCAGAGCTTTCTGGACCCGGAGCTGGATTGCGCAGCAGGCAAAGTAAGCAATTGCTCCGGGGCTCCACACCCGGGTCCTCGCCACGTTGCTTTGAGGTCATTTTATCATTTGCATGTTTAGGGATATGCAATATCTAACACTTCAGCGTGCATTTGGCATTATGACTTGTCCTGTGTTCCACCAAATTACCACTAGGAGCCCCTGATGGGTTATTCTGGCCACGTTATGATGCGGGCTGCCGCTGGGCACACTGGGGGACATGTTTATGGGACACCTGGACAATTCAATCCTCTGCAGCCAAGAAAAGACCTGAAGTAACACAAGACGCTGCATTGTCATCATCCTAGCGGTACAAGCCCAGCTCAGCTCGCCGTGTGACGTCACGTACCTGAGGCGCCGACGTACACGCTTTCATTGGTCAGCGCTCCTTCGGACACCACGGAACCGCAGTCCACGCACACCAGCTGGGCCTGACAGTACAGGTCATCGTCTACGATGTTCGAGGAGCCGCAGCCCGGGCAGCTCAAACCCGAACGAGACATCTTTCAAATGAGCTGCTCCCCCCCCCGGTGCGTAGAGCCAGAAGACGTCTGTGCATCGCCGAGGAAGCGGGTGTTGAACGGCAAGTGAACGTCGCCTGCGGGGGCGCATATAAAGTGCCCGGGTAGACACAACGGTCTGGTAGTCGGAGGTTCCGCTTGGTCCTGCCATGAATAGTTTACCGTGGAAGACTTTCAATCAAGGTTACACAAACTGTCACTCATCGACACGTCTTCATTAGTCACGGAGAATACATCTATAGTCGTGGAGAGTTTTTTTGGTAGGGCCGCCCAATCAGTTTCAGTAAACATTCCGGTATGATTCAAAATGGGTATCAAACATGCATTATTACTTTGCAGTTAAATATTTAATATTTATTTCAATAGTTTAACATAAGGACATCTTATTCAAACAATTCAGTATATCAATGAAATATTGTAATTATATATATATATATATATAATCACGCCCTGTTGACCTCCAAGGACTCACGCAAGAAGAAGACTCACGTTACATGCAGGGAAATACAGTCTCTTGACAATGTCATTTTTTAAAGCAATATTATAGATTACTAGTCGTAGATTAAATAAGTGCTCACAAAATGATTGATATAACAAACTGTTAGAAATATGGCTGATATTAAAATCGAGGGACAAATAGTAAATCCCAAAGAACACATTATAAATCCACGTAATTTAAAACAAAAACTGATGTAGCAAGACTATTGATCAGGAGTGAACCAATACCTGGTTTATCAGAAGAAAACTTTATTTAATTTTGCATATTTTAAAAACAACAGTGTGAGATTTCCGTGGACGTCACATCAACAGTGTAAGAAGATTAAAGTGCCTTTTGGGGGTTAGTTGAGGCATGTAAACTTTGACAATCAGTACAAGAGCAGGAAATGTTATCTACGTAACCAGTGCATAGTTTAGACAGTAAAAGGCTGGTCTTCACTCTGACCAATAGAAAAAGATGCAACATCACACACAAATGCAAAAGAGGGTCAAGAAATATTGCTATATATTTAGGAAAATTAAAAAAGTCTTTGTAATTATTAACACATTGATTGAGAGTTGACAGAATTTCCTAAATTGAAAAGATTGAAGTAGAAACTAACAGCTTCTGTCAAATAGGATATAGAAAATATTCTTAAATCATAATCATTATTAATTTGCCAATATAGAGAAACCTTGCAAAAATAGGTCACAATATAACTCAAACACTTATGTCTTTGATTTGGTAGTGTCCGGTGTTACTGGGTCTGAACCGATTAGGAACAGAAGAGGTTAAACATCCGCTGTGAAACCACCTAGGTAGATCTTTTTAGGGAGTTCAGGGACAAGAGAATACTTGGCTTTTCTTCTATGACGCGCACAAGCAGGTTGTCGATGTACTGCTCAAGTTCCGATATCGTTTTGTCCCTCTCAGACAGCTGCTTTTCTTGTTTGAGCACCAGAGATACGAGTTCCGCCTGAGTCAGCTGTGAGTAGGGCCCCTTCAGCCCAGTGTCCTTTACCTGTGAAAGTAAAGAACAAATACGACAAATTAAATATTCAAATGTTGATACGGTTTGATGAACACATTTACTTTTAGTTTTGATCTCTTACCCCTTGAACGACTGAAGCAGGCTGCTGTTCCAGAGGGTTAAGGGGTTTCACTGGTTGAAGCCTGCAATGACAGAACACGGCACAATATAAATAACAATTACAGGCATGAACTGGATGAGAGTGGAACAAAACAGTATTAAGTATTGAGATAAATTATTTATGTATCTGATCAAAGAGTAACCTCTTCAGCGACCCTATCAGCTCCGAGGATAATGAGACAAGATGGATGATCAATGCACTTAATGAAGAAGGAAAGGCCGATTCATAGAAGACCACATTAGGAATGTGCGGAAAGTGATAAGTGATCTACAATACACGAGGAGATGGATGAGCAATACAAAGATGCGTCTCACCTGCGTGAAGCTACCGGCGCCGTCACGGCCTCCTTCTTCCCGCCCGCGTCCTCCTGCAGCGGCACACGACTCCCGGCCTCGGGCGCAGGCTCGACGGTTACGGCCGTGCCACCTGCGGCGCGGCCTCCGCCGGCACCTGGGCCGCTCGACGCGTCGGCCGTCGCCGCAGGGAGTGGGGGAGCGCGGGCTTTTGAGGATTTGATTTTGGTCTGGGGCGCGGCATCGTGGTCAGCCGCCGGAGGCCGCTGAACCGAACCGGCATCGGCAGAGGCGGTTGGATCACGTGGGGCCGCACTTACGGCTTCATCCTCATCTTCTTCGAATGGATTCAAACTAGAAACAGCGGCGTGCGTCTTTTGTCCGGACGGCGGCCCCTCTGACGCAGGGCGAGGTATCGGCGGCGCAGTGCGTTTATTGTGTTTCGCAACCTCGGACGTTTCCTTGGCGGCACGACTCTGCGTGGAGTTCTCCGTGTTCTTGTGCTCTGCGTGACACTCGCTCAGAGGAGCGATCATTTGCACCGAGCGCTGTGGGAGGACGCTGACGGTTCTTACGTCTTTGCCCTTTTTGTCCACGTGAGCGGATCCGTCCTGCTCCCCCCGACTCCGGCTCCCAGCGTGACTCCTTCCTGGCGGCTGAGGAGCCGGTCGCCTCTCCCGTTGAGTGTTAATAGGGTCCTTTTCGTCAGAGGAAACGGGCCGGCTTCCTACCGACGATGCTGCAAATTGAACTCTGGAAATGAGACACAGGAAATAAAGCATACTTGTGAATACTCATTACAATAGCTACCTTTTTCTTTTATGTGGAATATGGAGAATGAAATGCATCAAAATCCTGTGAAACACAATCTTTCTTCCTAAAAGAAATGTGTAATAAAGACTATGTGAGTGTTAAATACCATCCTGAGATCACCATGCTTCATCGTCACACCAACTAAATCCATGTCCATGTTCTGAAGTATTACCTGCTTTAATGAGGTGACACTATAAGGAGTCCTATTTCTCAGTTAAACCCAAACACGGGCTGTTTTTAAAAGAGAAGAGCTGAGAGGAGCCGTCGCTGTGACGGAGATGATAAAAAGATAATCTACATTCAGGTGACATTTTGTATCATTTCCCACGGCTGGATTTCATGCAGGTTAATGTAAATTCTGACCTTTGCTGGACAGTCGGCACCATGGCCGTGCTGCCGTCGGGTCCAGCATGAGAGTCAGGAGGCTCCTCAAAGGGATTATTGGAGAAGTTTTCATCAAATGGGTTGTTAGACGAGACTTCATGACCCACTGTAGGTTTCTTCTCTGCAGCTTTAAGTTTAGTTTTGGTGTTCTTCATCTGCGCTTCTTTTACTAACACCTCTTTCTCTTGAGTCTTCCTTCTAATTCTCTCCTCCTCCTTCCTTTTAATTTTCTCTTCTTCAATTTGTCTCCTCTCTTGTTCCCGTTGTCTCATTTTTTCCACCAGCATTCTCTCATGTTCTTCCTTTTCTTTCCTAGCGCTCTCCTCTTGTGCAATCATTTCCTGTTCCTCCCTTTGCTTTCGCGCTCTCTCAATTCTCCTTTCTTGTTCTTCTAGTAGCCGCTTTTCCTCTGCCAACTTCTGCTCCTTTTCCCTCCTCCTCTCCTCCTCCACCCTCATCCTTTCTTCTTCCTCACGTCTAACCTCCTCTGCCTCAAGCCTTCTCCTTTCTTCCTCTTCTAGTCTTCTCTTTTCCTCTACCAAACGTCCATGTTCTTCCTTTTCCCTCTTAGCCTTCTCCTCAAGCTTCCTTTTTTCCTTTAGAGTCTCTTCTTCAATCGCTTTGTCCCGTCTGATTCGCTCTTCCTCAGCAATCTTCACCACCCTCCTGATCCTCTCTTCCTCCTCACTTAATCCATCTCGTTCAAGCCTTCTTCCTTCTTCCTCAGTCATCCGCTTTTCCTCTGTTAATTTACACTCTTCATCCTTAAGTATCCCAACTCTCTGCTCTTCCTCTGCTTGTCTCCTCACTTTCTCTTCTTCCTTCTCTAGTCTCGCTCGCTCTTCTTCTCGTCTCCTCACTTCTTCCTCTAGCCTCCTCGCTCGCTCTTCTTCTAGTCTCCTCACTCGCTCTTCTTCTTGCTTCTCTAGTCTCACTCGCTCTTCTGCTTCTTGTCTCCGCAGTCTCTCCTCTTCTTCTAGTCTCCTCACTCGCTCTTCTTCTTGCTTCTCTAGTCTCACTCGCTCTTCTGCTTCTTGTCTCCGCAGTCTCTCCTCTTCTTCTAGTCTCCTCACTCGCTCTTCTTCTTGCTTCTCTAGTCTCACTCGCTCTTCTGCTTCTTGTCTCCGCAGTCTCTCCTCTTCTTCTAGTCTCCTCACTCGCTCTTCTTCTTGCTTCTCTAGTCTCACTCGCTCTTCTGCTTCTTGTCTCCGCAGTCTCTCCTCTTCTTCTAGTCTCCTCACTCGCTCTTCTTCTTGCTTCTCTAGTCTCACTCGCTTTTCTGCTTCTTGTCTCCGCAGTCTCTCCTCTTCTTCTAGTCTCCTCACTCGCTCTTCTTCTTGCTTCTCTAGTCTCACTCGCGCTTCTGCTTCTTGTCTCCGCAGTCTCTCCTCTTCTTCTAGTCTCCTCACTCGCTCTTCTTCTTGCTTCTCTAGTCTCACTCCTCCTCTTCTTCTTGTCTGCGCAGTCTCTCCTCCTCTTCTTCTTGTCTGCGCAGTCTCTCCTCCTCTTCTTCTTGTCTGCGCAGTCTCTCCTCCTCTTCTTCTTCTTGTCTCCTCAGTCTCTCTTCTTGTCTCCTCAGTGTCTCCTTTTCTTCTAGTCTCATCTGTTTGTGAGCACTTTCCTCCTCTATCCTAATTGTTTCCTTATCTGCCTTTTGCCTACTTTCTTGTTCTGAAAGCCTCCTTTCTTCTTGCCTTCTCAACATTTCCTCTTCCTTCATCCTCTCTTCCAGAACCCTCTGTTCCTCCTTCCTAACTCGCTCTTCTTCAATACATCTCTTTTTCTCCTCCAATCTTTCCCATTCTTCTTGTTCCCGACTGTGCCGCTCCCCTTCCTCTTGTCGCATCCGCTCTTCCTCCTCCCACCTAATCTTTTCCTCTTCCTCCCTGTTAATGTTATCTTCTGCAGTCCTCCTTTCATCTTCCTCTTGCCTCGTCTTCTCATCAGCCAACCTCTCAAGCTCGGTTCTCCTGACTCTCTCCACTTCTTCCCTCTCCATCTCCTCCATCCCAACCTTCTCTTCTGCCTCACTTCCTAGCTGGCCCACATTTTCTTTTGTGTCTTCCTCCTCCTCTTCCTCTTCCTCCATCCAAGGTGAATATTGCCTCGTGGCTCTCAGTGAATCAATAGACTGAGGAAAGCTTTCCGGGACGTCTTCCATGGATCCGTGTCCAGAACTGGTGAGACTGAAGTTTGATCCGCTGCGAGAGGCCCGGGCCGGCGGCTCGTCTCGGTAGACGTGGCTGCCGTTGATGCACACGTTGCTCTGTTCTGCAGCGCCCGGTTTCTGGTGACCGGAGGGGGAGTCTTTGCCGTCGGAGCTGTTTGAGCGTTTGTGTATCAGGAACTTGAACTTCTTTTTACCTGGAGGGACATTTGGAAAGTTAAAAACCATGAACTCAATGACAATCATTCAGGAGAAAGCAAATAATACAGTGACTGGGTGCATTCAAAAACGGTTGGTGCCGACCTTCAGAGGAATCCACCTTTGGAACAGAGGATTGGCTGCCACTCAGCGTTAAGGTCTTCGCAGTCAGAACAGTCATGGACTGAGACATGTTCCTCTGCAGGTTAGACTTGTGGGAAAACAGAGACTTTGTCTTCGGCGGTTTCTTCTTTTCGCCGCTGCCCGCCGCCGCCTCACAGTCGCCCTCCTCGTCGCTCTCGGTCAGAACTTGATTGAAGGACGGCAGGTGGGACACGGGGTCGGAATCCCGTTTCTTGCCACGAACTTTGTCCTTGAACTTGCCAAGGCGAGATCTGGATTTGCCGCCAGCAGAGAGGTCGAACATGCTGGAAGTCATGTTGTTTCGCATGAAACGAATGTCCAAAAGCACCTCTCCCCGGTCCTTGTCCGCCTTCCCACTCTTGTCCAGCAACTTAAACCATCTGTTAGAGACACATTTCATCAGAGAGGAAGAGATACAATTTTAAAATATCAGATTCATTTTGCAAACATTATTTTAAAAAGTAAACATTCTGCATGTCATTGAATTCTTGTTTTATTGGTAAAAACGAAACATTTGCAGGTCGTTCATCTAAACTATAAACAGTATTAAAATACTGTCTTCTGTACATAGAGACCTTTGCTCCACCCGCCAACAACAACGTCACATAGAAGAGTTCCATTCATGGAGCAGTTTATTCACTACAATTAATCTACGGTCTTAAATTAATCGGACACTGAAAGACTAGATTCATGAAGAGTATGTTCATGTTTATACCTCTTCTCTCTATAACAGCTTCTTCATGGAAACTACTAACTATCCCGTAGCAAATGGAGAGTGACCCAGCAAAATGAACCAGAGGAAAATTGTAAAAATCAACACTCTTCTGCCTGTGACTGCTTCTCATGCTTCTTGTACGGTAGACTTTTTTCAATGTTTTGAGAGCCTTTATGAATGTTTTCGGTTAGCGTCTCAGATTATATAAAACGTACTCCCATTAGTACCAAACTAAACTAAGCAGATTACAAATATGGACCAAATTTTTTTTTTTTATATATATATATATATATATATATATATGCTTTCCAACGAGCCACTATGCCTTCATCTCATAAGGGTTAAGGTCATAAAACGCACCATCACGTTTTAAACAAACACCACAGTCAAGCAAAGCTTGATAATAAAACTCCATATGGATACAAAACACCATCTACAACCATAAACTAGCAGCTTAAAAACATGTTCTGTAAAAACGCTGAAAACAAGGCATTAACTCATCCACTGACACCCGGTTGTGTCAACTTTGCAAATCTTCTGAACCGGTGTCACGGCCCAACACGGACAAGAGGGTCTCGGAATACTTTTAACAGGACGAAAAGAAGCAGTCAGCATATAAAGTGCCTATCAAGCAAAAAATCTGAGGTCAGCTGACCACTGAACAAACAACTCCCAACTGAGATCAGGATTCCTGGGGAGATGAGGAAATGAGGACGGGCCGAGGGCACTTTTCTGTGTGTCCTTTCTTACAACGTGAACAAAAGAGAGCGGTTTTCAAAATGAAAAGATTTGGCTGTAAAATGTGGTTTTAAAAACAGAACGAGCATTAAAGTTGTGATCTTGTAAATATTTCACATACTGTGTTCATATGCCGTAAGCACATGTTGAGATTGACCATCCTCTTCGCACAGCACTGCGTCGGATGTGTTACACAAACAAATTAAGTAGGGGGATGTTTTTTCCTGGAAGCTGACAGTCACGGCTCCCCTGCCTCCGTCACTGCGAGAAAAGGAACGCGCTCTGCAAATTTCATGCCTTGATATGATAAATATTTCATTTTGGGACTTATGATGAACGGCCTTCAACAAAACACTGCTAAATAGATATTGCATTTATTTATTATGCAAGTGCAGACCGTGTTCTTCCTCCCAGTCACGAGTGGTCCAAAGCGTTCTAATAGAAGATTTAATTTCAATCCGTCTGTGGCATCGAATCGGTTTTGTTGTCAGATTAGGATCACGCTGAAATACACAATTCCTCTCCCCGATCAATACGGCCAAGCAGAAATTGAAAACAATAGAAAATAATAAATAGAGCGGCTGGGCAGTGCAGTAAAGCAATGTTATTACAGACCAGCGCATGATAAATAAATTCACTCGGGGGAGCAGAAACATGTGGTGAACGAAGCACTGTTATATTATCACAATTGATTTGATTCAGCAGGTTCTACAGATCCAGCGCACATATGGTGGAAGTAAAGTCCACTGTCCACTAATCTGGCCTCAGTTTTTTTAAGTCTTCGCCAACACCAGCTGGAAATGTCCAACCAGTCAGCTACTAAATGAGTCACTATTTTCCGCGGCTGGTTGCTAAATTCTCTTCTCTACGGACGGTTTTAGAGGTCTGTCCGGAGAAATAAGCTGCCTGTTGTGGCTGAAAAACAATAAGTTCAGTTATGACCCTCAGTGGGTCCATCATTACAATTATCAGTGATCTACTGCAAAATTAAAAATACGCTTTTGTTTAGCCGAAGCTCATTTCTCTCCTGTGGTTTGAAGCCTTCGACATGGTTATAAATTCAATAGATAGGTCACGTTAATCACATCCATATTAAGAGCCCATAAGCACATCTTAAATTCTTTGCCAACTGCACAAAGTCTCTCATCCTTTAAAAGTCATACCTGATCTTCAGCCAAGAAGAACCAAAGAGTGGGACGTTAACGCCGGGTTTATGATCATTATGACCAACCCCTTTCATTTACTGTATATAATGCATACAGATTATAGAGCATAAAAACCCTTCCTAAAAAATGATCCATTTTATTTACATGCGTGATGTTTAACTAATAGATCAAAATGTGCCTTACTTTACCACTGTAGTTAAATTATTATTGTCAGTGTTGACAGCTGCATATACAAACTGTAAATGTCCTGTAAAAAGAAGAAGAAAGCTAGTTCGGTTTACACAGAGGGGAAGTTGCAAAAGTGTTTGGCCGTTAGCTGCCTGGCGTAGTGTCCAGGATGAGAAATTACAAAGTCACTTTCACTTAACAGGAACTGTACGGTAGTGATGCCCTTAAAAGTCAGGAATCTCACACCAGCGTGAAGAGTTGACAGTGTTCTGCTGTACAGGACAGAGATGTCATGACTCAACGTTTTGTTAAAATATTATACTTTCTGCGCACACACATCCGGAAGCCTGAATTACTGATAAGGCTCAAGCCTTTCTTATCACAAAGCACAGCTGTGCGAGCGCTAAAAAGAACTGCCCGAGTGAGTAAAACGACTCAAAAGTGACAATGTCCAAGGACCAGACGTGTCCCGTGCCTCATTGTGTCAGCACACAACCAGGAGCCTGAGCAAAGAAACCAGAGTGACACTAGAGAGAAAAGAACCTTTTCAAAACAAAATTAATCACAATCCACGTCAAGGAAGCAGAAAAACTTGCAGTGAAGGTTTTTGAAATGGAAAAAAAATAAAAAAATACTGGACAAAAGCTGTCTGAAGGATTGCCTGCAGGTTTCATGAAAACTCTTTAGCAGGCAGGACTGTTTTTTTTAAATCTGAGATTACGTTTTTCTGTATCCAGGCGTCAGAGCATCATTTCAGGCCCAACTATAGATTTGGGTGAAAGAGGCACTTCAAAAAGAGGTAATTCAGCTTGTGAGTAGCGTTGTTGACATAGATTTTATAATGTCCTCGGAGCAGGTGGGAATTTAAGTTACTAAATAAATGTCTAGGATTGCTGTTGACCTTGCGAGACCACCTGTTGCCATCACTGTTTGCGCTTCATAGATAAAAACAGTCAGGAATGTGAGGCTGGATCGAGCAATCAGGGTCGAGGTGCATTCCCCTGGCTCGCAGAGAAAAAACAACTGAAAACAAAGTTACTCAACAGCAGCCAGAGCACGAGTTCACAGCTTACAACTACTAAAGGGTGGTCTGCATGAGATCCTCACAAAATGATACGCATTGAAGAAAACATCTGGAACAAATGTCTGGGTTTGGATGCAGCTGATGTGCGAACCATGTACTCTCAGACATGCAGAGCCGAATCATGTAGTTCAGCTTAGCATGCTGAGAGTTGGACAATAGCCACAGGCAGGAGGAATGGTATGAAAAATGTTTTTCATTTCAGCTGTGGAAAAGGAAGCCTGTGTGTGTGTGTGTGTGTGTGTGTGTGTGTGTGTAGGCTTTTGTATAATACTGGTCACATGGTGGTAAAAACAGCTTATCTTAAAAAAAAAAACAACATTTTCTATTCTCACTGATTTGCAAACATGCGGTTTTACACATTTTAACAAGGATATTTTCAAATCGAAATGTTACCACTTTCACATCTTTTCCGCTTAAAAAGGAGCAGATATCGTTAACTGTTCACAGCAGTTAATTTCATCTAATTAGCTACGCGTGAATGTGGTATAATGAGAAGGACCTTTTCCATACACAATCGTGCTCTATTGAGCCTAAATGAGGGGAATGGTTCTTTGGGGAAAAGTGTCAGTTGTTGACAGGTTCAGTCACTGAAACAGTGATTTCCTTTGACTGAAGTATTTTGCCTAATACTGATTGGCTCCCTTGAAGGCTGAACAAAAATCCCTTAAACTGCACCAGAGAGCGTGAGGGCAACATTCATACCGCAAACCCACCAGAGCAGGTGTGTGCAGTGAAGCATGGCTGTGTTTGGGCTCAAATACCTCACCTCAGTGACAAGAAATGTGCAAATATCCCAGGAACTCACATCTGAGGGGCCCCTTTTCAAATGCACAATGTAAGGGAACGGTAAACATTTTGTTTTTACAGATTCATTACTACAATAACTGTTTGGAGTTATTATTTAACAATGTGGTTTTGTCCTGCAAGACCATGCAGTGTGGCTGATGGAACCAGCAAGCAGGACTTGTTCTGTGACGCACATGGAAATCAAAACTATTCAGGGTTCATTTCATTCATCCCCCAAATGTACCTATTTACATTGATGTAAGAGTGAAGAGAAACTTTTCTCCTTTCACATTCATTCATGCAGATCTTTTCTCTTTTTTAAATTTAAGCAACGCTTTGGGCTGTCCTCAGGTTCAGCTGGAGAGGCATTTAATTCCCCAAAGAAACTTCAATAGAATGATGTCATTTCCACCACGGAGATCAATGAAGCCGCCTTTACATTCGGGTTGATGCCATTTGTTTGCTAAAGGCTTAGCAGTTAACGTATTGACCAAAACAGTTTAGGCGATTGGTAACCAGTTGTTATATAATGTGATTTCAGAGTCTTCTATGGCAGTAAACTACATTTATTTGAGTTTTTGCAGAACTGGTCGACATGTTTGCGCATCGAAGGGACAGTTTGGCTCTCTGCTGACTTGACCCCCCCGCTGTGCGGCACTTACTCGGTTTTGCTGCGGGTTTTGTCCTCGCTGAGCTGCGGCAGGTTGACCACCGCCTGTCCCAGCAGCTTGTCCGGACCCACCAGGGCCCGGTGGAGGACGTGGACGCGCAGCGTGGAGCGCTCCTTGCCTCCTCCTCCCCCTCCTCCGCCGCCGCCGGGCGGCAGGTCGAAGGCGGCCTCCTCCCCCCACGCCGGGGCCACGCTCTTCTCCGCCACCGAGGTCTGAAACTTCTCCTTGCCCACTTGCATGACCGCGTACGCGTCATTCGTGCCGGCTTTGCCCTTTATCCGGAGGCCCCTGGCTTGCTGCACGCTCACCTGGACGCCCGTGGGGCCACACAGCTGATCCGCCAGAGACATCGCGGCGCCGCTCGTCGCTCCTCGCTGGATTTAACGGACGTTCAGCTCGGAGAGTAAACGCGAGGAAGAGCTTCCATCGGGTCTGCGGGAGACTGGGCAGGAGCGAGGAAAGGTTTCTTTTCTTCTCTTTTTTCCCCCCCCAATGAGTTTGGGTGAATTTGAGGAAACAGCTGATTGGGCGTGGTTACACGGAAAAGGGGGGGGGGGGGGTCTTTGGCCAAAGAGAGACACGCCCCCCTCCCCGGATTAACAGATTACACGTATCGAATTGGACACACACTGATTGGCCCCTTCACACCACAAAAAAAAAATACTGGAGTCAACAGGTCCCACCTGTTCCTTGATTGACTTGTTGACACCTGTCAGAGTGCATCAGCATCAGAAGAAGACGAGACTGACTGACTCAAACTGACGGTCTGTGATTATCACTGTCCACCGTCTCTTCATCTGGGACACGTTCGCAATGAGCCGCAGTATCTATTCTTACTTTAGCATCTGTCTGATCCAGGTCTGAAAACTTGAGACCTCTGCTCCAATCGTCGCGTGGCGAGTGGAAAGGACACCTGACAAGCCGGTGACAGGTGATAGCCTTCATGGGGTTGGATTCAGTTTCACATGCAATCTCCATCAGGCTGCAGCAGCAATGCCTCCGTGTGTTTCAGATGGACTGAGAGCTCTGCGGTGGAGGGATGTCACGTGCGTTTACCTCAGTGAATGCTGGGATAAACCCTCCTTTCCCTTAAGCCTGAGCAGGATCAGGTTGGCTAAGGAAAAGGTATGTATTTATTCTGCTGCTTTGTAAGTCTGACTCATGGCACAATACACAAGAGGGATGTCCGAACCCTGACTCCTGCTGGCTAAGAAAGGGAACCAAATGAAAACACATTTCGGGGCGATTGGCCTTCAAACATTTTATTTTACTTTGCCTGCTTCCTTGTAAAAGATTAAAGCCAAGGACACATATAGAGCCTTCAGCCAATTAGCGATCTGACGCACAAGCGTTGGCCCCGCCACCGTCTGACAGCGATGCAACAGTAGTTGAAGCACCCGGCACGGAACATGCCGCTGTTCTCCATGGCTGTGCAAAGAATCTCTAAAATAACTTTGAATTATTTACATAGGGGTCAGCGTTTTAATCTGATATACAACATGCTCACATGGCAGTGAAAAGGAGTCACGAAAAGACTTTGCTGTGTGAACAAGTTTAAGGACAAACCGACCTATTAAGCTTGTGTCTGGTTCCGAGGGTTTGGGCTTCTTGTACTGTAGTGTTCACTTCTGCCCAAATTCACATCAAACAATGTAAATAAATACAGCGCTAAAAACATAAACATTATTTTTTTGTAAAAAAGTTATCACTGAGAATCTGGTAAAAGTGATGGTTACAGTAAGAATAAACACATTTCTACTTCTGATCATTTACATTTCAATAATTAACATTAATAAAAAACAATTCAAGATATCCGATATAAGAGCCTGGATAGCGGCAAACATTCCCTGTGTCCTCATTGTCCCGGTCGAAGCTGCACTGCTTCTATGCTCACGGTGTTTTTTATTCTCCCAATGTGTGTTGTTGCTTCAGTCCCCCGTCTCCTGCCCCCCTACAAGAACTTCACTGTAAAGTTTCTGCTGCTCTTCTTTAAAAGCGTCTTTCACTTTTGCTCGTTTCAGACCTCCGTCCCTGAGAGCACACAGGGAAAAACGCAAAATAGGATCAAACTGATCTGTGGGTCTGAAGAAGAGCATCAGCTGGAAAATTCTCTGGTGAATATAACAAGACGTTTTATTTATATACTGTAAGGGAGCAGCTGTACAGTGTGCAAACTTTGCTTATGTTTTTAAGTCTATTGGTCCGGCTGACTTTAACAGCATTAGGGTGTACGCTATACATTTTCTTAGGAATTCATCCCAAAGATTTGAGCTTTCAAAAAGGCATTCTCATCATCTTTTTGCAAACTCTTCTTCTGTAATGGTGTAGCGGCACCTGACTGGGGAAATTCATTGAAAACGTGCAGGCAAACTCTGCTAATGACTCACCAAATTAGATCCACTAGTCCTCCTTGCGCAGCTATGGCTGCTTTCACTCTGTTGGCAAACTGCACTGCATCCTCCCCTTCCTACACGAGGACAAAGAACAGGCTAAGAAAAGGTGGAAGAAGCACTCCGGCGGATAGAATAAACAGATCTCAAAGCTCCTTATTTCTTTGAGTGATTTGAGTTCAAATGTTTCACCTCTCTGTTCATGGGCGGCAGGTACCAGACGCTGCAGACAACGGCCCAACTGCTCATCATCCTCAGGAGGTAACTCACCAAGCCAAACTTACTGCTGTTCCAGAAAGCATCCCCGAAGCGAGGATCGTACTGCAAGGTGGACACCGGGCCGTACTACGCGTAGGTAAGCAAACGAGCACAATGAGGAGAAAGGAGGAAAGAGGAAAAGTTCCTACCTTGATGGCCACCGGATAGACTGTGCAGGCGATTTCAAAGCTGCCCTTTTTAAACATCATCACCGATGTGTTGTTGATGCAAGTACCTGTGGAAGACCCAGCGTGGAGCTTTTATCGACTCTAAACAACAGTGTTACGTGCTCTCCTCATCAGAGTGATATCATCATACACACCCTCGGGGAAGATCAGGATGGGCTGTTTAGTTTTGTCGGCAACATGATCGCTGAGCCTAAAATGGCAAAGAGACAAAAAGGAAGTTTTGTTCAAACAAATAGCCTCACTTTTAAAGTTCAAGACAAGTGATCTCAATGATCAAATCTAAACTGCTATTATTAGAGCAACAACCAAAACCATATTATCATTTGTATTCTGACTCCATGGTCTCTGTCATGATCACTAAAGAGGTATAATTCAGTGCTCACTATGCTTCTATGACTATGCTCCCTGGCAAGTTCTTTGTTTGATGGCATCCAAAAATACATTCTCATGTGTTAGAAACTAAGCTCATCTAAACCACGTTGTTGACACCCATTCACAACAAGAAAATTAAAGCTCTACACTGGGGTCTAATGTGTATTAAAATTCAAAATGCACACAGCTGAACATCTTAAATATTAAGTGTTTACACAGCAGGACCATAATGCATCTAAGAGCAACGGCAACACTGAGAAGGTGCACTGTTACCTTTTGGCCACTAGGTGTCTGTCTTTGACTTCTGATCTTTCAAACCAGATGTGATGAGAGGATTTGACCATGGCTCGCTGGATCATTCCCATCAGCCCTCCGTGCACCTGGCCAACCTGAGGGACGAGCCGCACTCGTGTTCATCAACTCTTATGAAAGACCGAACACACGCACACACACACACACAAAAAGATTGAGAGACACACAAACGTTTCTACCATGGAGTAGCAGCCATCGTTGGCTAAGATGATTACATCAATGGGTGTTGTGTGATTAGACACACAGATACCACCAGTCTTTGGTTTGTTCTCTCTGAAATGAAACACATTTGTTTTAACACACAATTTGGAGACGTGCATTTACCCATCACACACGCTTCATTACTGGACATTATCTTCTCAGAAATGGAGAGAGTTGTGAACCTTACTGTTCTGATCGTTCTAATGATTTCTACATTAAACACATTGTACCTGTTATGATAGGTGATGATTGCTGTGAGAGATTTCACACAGATTCGGTAACACATCAGATGAACCTTCTCACTCAGGTAGAACCTTAACCTGAGGACATACAGCAGAATGTCACTGTAACTCCTCTAAGAAGGTAATTATCGAGGGTTGAAATACTGGGAAAGTCGTGTATATTTTGATCATCAGTCTACCTTTTGCATAGGGACCTGACTTTGCGTGCATGCTTGAACTGTTATGAGAATTGGGGTAAACTTACTCTTTATTTGGTAAAAAGCCAACTAAAGTAGTCAACACAAGAAGCAGGCAAATGCCAACGACTGCCAGAGTAACCCTGCAGAAAAAAAAAAACACATTCCATATTCGCCGCTTTCAACAGATGAGATGAATCTTACCGCCTCGGCAACATAACCTGCACACAAGCTGCTCTGACCTGAGAGGCAGCAGGACGCCGTAGCGGATGAGGACGCCCAGGCCCCACAGGACAGTAAGTCTCACACTAATATGACGGAAGTTGTAGTTGCTTCGAGTCAGCAAGTTCCAGCCTTCCAGTTCCTGGGCCGAGAAGCGCTTCGTCACCTCGTCGTCCAAGATGCTCTCCACGCCTGTCCGGCAGAAGTAGAAGATGTCGGCCAACTCAAACTCTGGCACTGAGGGCAGACCGCTGGGAGAACCTCGGAGCTCCTGGATCTCCTGCTGCAGCGACGACGCCTGCTCTTTGGCTATGATTCCTAAGATGAGAACAAAAAGTCAATGAACACGCGTTGGAGATAATGGTCAAAATAATACAGGTACAGTACAGTAAACATTCATGACTGAGAAATATCTGAATATCCCTTTCTTACCATTGCTACATGGTTTATAGAGTTGCTGATTCTTCTCCTTTGCTTCCTTCTCCATTCGTGAGGTTGCCCACTTAATTAAAACCGAAAAAAAACATTCAGAAAACGTGTTTAGAAAACAAGATTGCAGAATTTGTATTTTGCTGTAATGTTTGACACACGGCAACAGAATGTGAACACACAACAACAAGCACTCCCAGACCTGCTGGTTGAAGCTGAGATGCTTGAAACTGCCAAAGGTTTACTGGCTTTTGCAAGATACTCAAGCTGATCTGGATGTAGATATGCCACTAAAAACAGGCTACTAGACAAAAAGCTTCCATCTGTGAGCACAGCAGATCCCTTCAGGAGGTCCTCACAGCTGAATTAAGATAGTAGAACCATTTGGGTGGTGCAGACTAAATAGTGACACCACTTATGACATTGTGCTATAACTTCTAAGATGCCGCCATTTTTCTGGGTAGAAAGCCAAAGTCCAGTACGTGTGTTGTGTGCTAAATTCAATGCCAGAGACCCGAACAGTGACAGAGAAAAAGGAAGCGAGGGACTTTGGAGATATTTGGGCAGAAACAGTTTAGTTTGACAGCTGGATCAAACTGAACAGTTCCTGGGGGACTCGGAGGAGGTTTTGTCCAGAGCCCTGAGAACCAACCCGAGGGAATACTACCTCCAACTGAAGTGGAACATTTCAGAAATAGAACGGGCAACACTCCTGCTCCGACAACAGGTTGTGTAAAAGGGGAATTTAGACCACGACAGAAACGATGGGATCCACAGGTGCTGAGCCGGTGAAGGGAAGAACCACGTGTTCTCTGTGCCACATCGCAAACTACCCCCCGTGAAAAAAAAGACATCCTCCCAGAGGTACCATCACTTTCCCAGATGGTAGTCCGATGACTAAAAGGATTTTTCCCCCAGAAGCCAAGTCCCCAAGGAAAGAGAGGCAGAGACCTGGCCTGTGCCTCTGTCAGTTTCCCTGACAGGGACTGTTTTTTAACCCCCTAACCCTAACAGCATATCAGTACCGTGGGTTCGTATACCACTCTTCTAATAATAATGTGCGTAACACAAAGCTCACCTCAAAGATCTTGAGAAGGGTCCTCAAGTAGAGTCTGCGAATACCAAAAGAGACTCCAAGTACAGCTGGCGTGATTATGAAGACAAGCAGAATAGTCAACCAGACGTGGAGACAAGTGATGGAGATGCCGAGACACCGGCACAGCAGGTTGTCCGCTGGAAACGTAAACCAGCTCATGCTGCGCAGCAGCCGAAGAGACACGGAGGGCAAGCGGGCCGTGCAGCACAGCGATACCCAAAGCCTTGTTAGTTTGAAGCCTCAGTGTCTGCAGACGACCCTGCAACGTACAGCGCGAGTATACGTATTTTACAAAGAAAGGACCAACAGTTGTAGAAAGTACAAACAATATAATCCTCCATGTTCCCTTTTAGGTGACTTGGTCACTTATACTTTGTTGATGGTCAATATGTGTATAAGTTTAAATGAAACTATTTTCAGTGATAAATCCTTATGAAATTGACACATTATCAAGCGTCCCTGGCAACAGTTCTTCTTCTATTTACTCTTTGAAAAAAGAAATAGTTCAAGTGCAATAACTTAACTGGGGTGTGCTTTCTTTTCAAAATAGCTTGATTTCAGTCACTCCAGCTTTTCAAATGGCTCAAAGAACGCTGTTTCAAATTAAACAATGACAAACATTCATTCACCCAAAACTTCAGTCAACCTGTTGGCTGGCTAACTTATGTTATTACCTATATTAATGTTAATGTGTGTTCAATTACAGTAAAGATTTAAAGTTCAACAAGCACATGTTTCAGGGTTAGTTTCTCTTTACGTAGCGTTATCTCTATTGTTACCTCGCAACAATGTATCAATGATATTCAATTAACATTACCAACCAAAATTGATCACACAAATGAATTCATACTTTTACACGTTGGGAGTTTCACGTTAAAGGCACTTACCCAGCCGGTGTATGCGATCGGTTATTAGGACGCGGAGATGAGTTTGTGTCGTAACACGCTGGCTTACACAGGAGCTTCCAGGTTAATAATAGAGCTCCGTTCGACCCGTGACTACCGGCTAATAACGTGCTAGCTAACGCTACCGTGGGTCGACTGCTGCCGTCCTAACGCCGGTCGTGTCCCGGAAGAGGACTGAGGTGACAGACGGCCAGGTAGTGCTCCACCTGGACAGTCCGGGTTAAGGGACGAGCCTTTCGGGACGGATTTTACAGGCCGTTGACAACATGCTAACGCTGCACTTCAGCTGCACGGAGTTGTATACGGTCGTCATGGCAACGGGACTGTCACTGGACCGCAGACGGGACGGCTCGGTGTCAACTGAGGGCGTTATTATTAGCATCCTGTAATATTCATCAATGTGGTGATTAAAATTGGTTTGAAGAACTTAATTTTCTCCATTAAATCCAATAAATTGTTATGCAAGCGTCAGGTTGTTTTCATCTTTAAGACTTTAAAATTGGGGTCTGAGCCTGGCATACATACAACACAAACACTATTCTACATAATAATAGTTTCAATAAAAACCTTTTATTTGTTATATATTCTGCTACAAATGTCAGTTATTTCTTGCATGCATAGTTTAACACTTAAGACAAGTAAAATCACAAAGTAAGATTTGCGTTTAGGAGAATATCTTAAATTTAGAGCATGCATGAACACATGTTAAGAACAGTGAACCAATAATTGAGCTGCCCCAGGAACCAGCAAGGGCATTTCAAGCAGTCATTTTGAAAATATAGCCAATGGATCATATTTGTCAAACACTGCATACACTTAACACTATTTAAGACTATTTACGTAAACTTTCTTTGGCTTTTTTTCATGAAACAACAAATGCTTCTTCTTTACAAATATATATATATATATATAATGAAGATAAATAGAATGAAGAACTTGTTTTTAGAGCATATGTTGGGGCAGTTTATGGAAGAAGTTGATTTTTCAATTGATTTTGAGGTATTAAAGTTAAAAGTGTAAAAGTTGTACCGAGGGGGAAATCACTTCAGTGCTGTTCTGAAGATTCGGTAGACTCACAAGCTCCTCAGTCTTCATTTCTTGTTTCAGTAATACCCATAAGGCCTTTCGCATTCAAGACTAGCAACTCACTGCAATCAGAATTTTCGCAGTTGAAGGAGCCTTAAACACAGAAAGTGATCTCACAGTATGATGGGCATAATGTTATTTAAGTAAGAGGAACTGCATCAGTGCTACATTACACGTAATTACGGAACTAACATCGGCTTGCCCTAACCAGGGTAGTCTTAATATAATAAACCCAGAGTAGGTTTAAGAGAGAAACAACAGTACGCACAAAACACAAAACAGCTTTGACAGGATCACATGAAATATTTCCATATTGCCGTATATCATATTTGTGCTTAAGATGTCGTCAGCTTTAGAGAGGAATGTGTTCTATTGGTTTCGCTGCTAGTCAACAATATATTTTTTTAATTGCTACAATTATAAACATTGTGTTTGAGCTCAATAGCTCAAAACTTTCCATTTCACTTAACCCGTTGAGTCCACATCACCATTAAAAGTGCGATCACCAAAGGAAAATATGCTTTTTTTTAAGACATATATGTAAAAGTCATAAATGCAGCAGTTGGTTTTGTGCGAGTTCTAAGGAACAGCAGCAGCATATGATCAACAGTCTGTGATCGTCAGACTTTGTGCTTCATCATGGCAGTTTCAGGGCTGGGTTGATATGTTTTTGTTTTCTTGTTCATTCACAGTTCAGAAGTTCCAGATCCATCGGTACCCTGTGCTGGACTCTGTTTGGTTTTAACACGTCGACTCACTGCCAGGAACTCATCGAGACATCATCCGCACAAACTCTGCGAATTAAAAGAAAGGACGGAGTGAGTCACACTCCCACAGTCACAGAAATCTTCGATGTAATAACTGTATGATGAAACACAAGTGCACAGAACTGCTCCTTAATATACAGATGGAGAAAATAATATTTGATCCCTTGCTGATTTTTTCAGTTTGCCCACTTTCCTGTAGTTGGTCACAGGTTTGCACACATCTCAGGAGGGATTTTGGTCCAGTCGTCTTTGCAGCTCTTCTACAAATCCTTATGAGGCTGTTGCTGGGCAGCTCGACACTTCAGCGCCCTCCACAGACTTTCTATGGGATTGAGGTCTGGAGACTGGCTATGCCAATCCGGGAGTTAAATTTAACGTTTCTCTTCTTCCAAACATGCCGAGTCGAGTTAAGCTCAATGTTGGTCTCATCTGACCACGTCACCTTCTCCGAATCATTCAGGTGTTCATTGGTTAACCTCATACTTGAGCGGGGGGACCTTGCGTGCGTAGTGTGTTTCCTTGGTGATTGGGGTCCCAGCTGTCTTGGGATCATTAAGAAGTCCCTCCCGTGTAGTTCTGGGCTGCCTCATCTTGCTCATGATCAACAATACCCGACGAGGCGAGAGCTCGTGTGGAGCCCCACACCGAGGGCGATTGATGGTCATTTTGTATTTCCCCCATTTCCAAATAATTCAACAGTTCGCAGCAAGCTGCTTGGCTATTTTCTTGTGGCCCATTCCAGCTTTTAGCAGGTCTACAATATTGTCCCTGACAACTTAGACAGCTATTTGGTGCAGAGGTTGAATTTTAATTGATTGATTCTTTGTTAGTGGGAACACCTACGACATCATCAAGGGATCACATATTAGTTCCTCCACTGAAATCCTCAGAGATTTGGTGCGACTGGAGGAGCACAACTCAGTATTTATTTTCATTTAGTTGAATAAAGCTTCATCAATTCGCTGGAACCTAAACTGGGCTTCAGATCAACTTATTCAATCAAAATAGTCTTTAGACAATTTTAAACAAAGGCTTATAATAAGTTTGGTTGCATGTCTAAAAATGCAGTAATCAATACTTGTACAATATATTACATTACATTACATGTCATTTATGTATATATATGCACAATAGACAATATTATCTGCTCGTAGTGACAAAACTACGCTGACTCTTTAGTTCCCATCAACACATTTTCACATATTTTATTTACTATTATGGTTTTGCAGCTTTCAACTTTTTTGTATTTCTTAGAGACATTCAACCTAATTTTAGATCCAAACGAATTTCCTTCACTTACAGTATGCATTAAATCATGGCTACTTCCATTTTGGATGGACATGACGTTGTTGTTTTCTGTCATGAACATAATCTCAAAAATCAAATCAGTCATGTTCACCATGATCTACATGCGTTCTAGAACTTAAAAAGAACAGTTTCCATTCTTGCTCAATAAAATATCACCTGGACATTGTTGCTGAACGATTGCATGAAAAATGCAGGGTAAGAGTGTAATTGTGCAACTGAAAACCGCAGCCTTTTCCAATTTTTCCATCCCTGACAGCCCTGTGCATCTTTTTCTCTGTGGGTAATGTATGATGTGCCATAATCCTTTGGTATGGAGATAATCTGACAGCAGCCTTCTGCCTCCATCCCCTCACATCACCATCAGCACGGTGTTGACATATTAGCACACATGTTGGGATTTTACTTTGAAATGTGTGTGTGTGTGTGTGTGTGTGTTTAAGAGATACGGAATAATAGAAATAAAAAGGCACAAACGCCGTGTAAGCGTGCATGATTTCCAGGCTTTGGTGAAATGCAATATGCTGTATAGTTTGTAAAGTACGGTGTCGCACACACACACACACACACACCGCTTGGCAGTTTTTTACCTTCAAAGTCTACGTGCCCGTCTCCATTGAGGTCGATGTCTCGTAGGATGTCCTCCAGGTCTCTGTGTCCGACCTGCAACAATAGGGTTGTGGGGGAAGGTGTGAACGTCCACGAGTCAGACAGACGAGATTCAGACAGACACCGTCACTGATGGACAGACATGGGGACAGACTCTTCCAGTACCTGTTGTCCTAAAAGTTTTTTCATGGCTTCTCTGAGTTCGGCCGTGCTGATCTGTCCGTCACCGTTTGTGTCAAACTGAGAATGATGGCAGATAGAGGGAGACATGAAAAATGATTAACTATCACTATTAGAACGTCCCTAAGATTATTATTATTGTTTTTTTATGTACCTATTTGCAACAATGCTGTTATCCAACTGAGTTTGCTACTTTGTGAGCTTCACGCCTTTCCTCACCTCCTTAAATGCATCCCTCAGCTCTTTCACTCCGATCATGTCTGCTGTTTCAGCAAGAAGTTTGGGCCCCATGAGTTCAACAAAGTCCTCAAAGTCAACGTGTCCTCCCACTGTAGGACATATTCAAAAGGTATTCAAGGTATTCTTACAGACAAAAAAATCACAAGACGTGATGACATGCACAACTGGTTCTAAACGTTTGCTGGAGGGATGAGGACTGATTAAGAGACACGCGAACGTACAAACAGACACAGTTTTACTTACAATTCATGTTGATCTGCTGGCTGAGTTCTATTAGCTCCATCTCTGTTGGCATGTAGCCCATAGTTCTCATGCAGTTCCCCAGGTCCTTACAGCCAATGAACCCATCCTTGTCTTTGTCAAACTCCTTGAACGCCTCACGCAACTCTGAGAGCGAGGGAGACAGGGTTTGGATGTTATAGAGATGTTAAAATTAGTATTTACAATAAACAAAAAATAAATCCCTGAAATGGGCCATACCATCCATTTCTTCTGGCCTCAACTCTCGATCCTGTGGATGATCACAGTGCAAGGTTAGCATCCAAACACTGCTGGTATTTTCAAAATGATGCCATTTCACAGCATTCCTTTCACAATGGGATGCTGGTCAAAAATAAGTAACTGCAGGTATTTGCAGCAGACTGCCAAAGAGTCAGCATGTTTCCCTCCAGCCCGAGAGGAAGAGCTTATCAGTGAGATCACGTGCAGACTGGTGGCACTCTATGACACCCTGTGTAAAAGTATAGTCTGGCAGAAGAACGGAATGAAATATAACATGGAGATCCAGAACCTATGCAAACCAACAGTCCCCTTAATGTGAGGTTCATTGAATTTAAATGACCCGATCTGAAACTCTACATGAAGAACAGAGCAGTCACTAAAACAGTGTTCCTTGACACTGAACAACTCAACGCCCATGTTGTCTTTAATACCGAGACCTCAACGCATGTTGTTGTCACTGCTGGAGTTAGATGAAGAGACAAAAATTGTAATGTATGGCGCATTTCTGCCATCTTAGTGATATTTCATCCTGATAAAAACTTCAACTAATGTTTACTAGTGATACGCCTCATGCCTAACTATAGACATTAACACACACACACACACACACACACACACACGCCTTTGATTTCAGCATTCTCGCTATCCAGAGGAAAGATTCCACTTTCTAAAAATGCACAAATCCACAGCGCTTTTTCACGTGCTGTAAATGCTGACGTTACAGTGAGAGGTGATTACTACCCTCATTCATCTCATGTTTCTGTTGTGTGTGTACTGTGTTACATGCTACTCTCATGCTATGCATGCACATGATAATGTCTGGACTTACGTACAGCCTGCCGGCTCTCAGCGAAGCCCTTGCGTAGAAAGATGCACGCAGGCCCCAGTACGTTGTGCATAGTTGCTCCGTTCTGGGCCAGGGCCACTAGTGGCTCAAGGTAGGCCCCCCCAGATCCCCCCTCCTCAGAGGAATGCACTGCTTTGTAGTTCTTCTTTTGGTCCTAGAGCAGCATCCGAAGCGAGGCGGGGGGGCAGACATGGGAGCAGGGGCAAGACAGGGGTGGAGACTGTGACTCAGACTGTGGCAGCGTGGAGTCAACAAGGAGACAACAAAGAGGGGCGATGAAGGGGGGTGACAGGCATATGTCTGTCTATCGAGTCATGCAGTCCTAGAAAAACGTGTAGTCATGTCAGTAATGGAGGTGTGTAGCCAGGTCAGTCATGGAGAGGTGGAGTCATGTCATTAATGGAGAGAGGTGGAGTCATGTCAGTCATGGAGGTGTGTAGTCAGGTCATTAATGGAGAGGTGTGGTCAGGTCAGTCATGGAGAGGTGGATTCAGGTCAGTCATGGAGAGGTGTAGTCGGGTCAGTAATGGCGAGGTGGAGTCAGGTCAGTCATGGAGAGGTGGAGTCAGGTCAGTCATGGAGAGGTGTAGTCTGGTCATTAATGGAGAGGTGTGGTCAGGTCAGTCATAGAGACGTGGAGTCAGGTCAGTCATGGAGAGGTGTAGTCGGGTCAGTAATGGAGAGGTGGAGTCAGGTCAGTCATGGAGAGGTGGAGTCAGGTCAGTCATGGAGAGGTGGAGTCAGGTTAGTCATGGAGAGGTGGAGTCAGGTCAGTGATGGAGAGGTGGAGTCAGGTCAGTCATGGAGAGGTGTAGTCAGGTCAGTGATAGAGAAGCACCTCAGTCAGTGGGAAGAGGTTGTCATTTCATGACAAGAGCAACTGATGCCATCCATGAATCTGCGCTGCTCTCTGCACTGTGACACATGAGGCAGCACGTATTATAGACGATGCCAACGATGGAGTAAACTGCATCACCAAACCCCAATGCGTGTTTCAAACTGACAGCCTCACAAAACAGCCCTTTAACATTCAACTGCACATTTGGTGCCAAGCTTGTCAGTAAAGGAAAACCCAGTCCATCGCCTAAACTACAGCAGCACTTATAGTTAGGATGAAGTCATTGCTGGGATCGGTGGAAAAGGGCAACATCTACCCAAAGTCGCACACATTAGCATATTGGCAATAAAATGATCATAGATGTTTTTTTAAATACCCTGAGAATAGCCAAACTTGGTGGAGAACATAAAGGCAATCAGTAAAATCCTAACCCAACAACATTTTGTAAACATTCATTAAAATGTCAGACCAACGAGTTC